GTGTCTCTCAGACTTTTTGCCTCACTATACAAGATGGCTACTCCTCCAGCAGAGCAGGGAGTAGGTAATAGCCAAGCTATCACATTGCCTATTTGTTTGACTTGATCTTTGTATCAGCTTTCCTTGATAATTTTCTATTTCATCCTGATAGCCCCTTTTCTACCTTCAAATACCTTCCCTCTCAATAAATTTTTCCTGAGCTCCTTTAATACAACTCTTCTACTGAGCCATATTGTGAAAACTCTATCATTATAATTTGTTAACATTATACCAGCTGAAATCAAGAGGAAATAGAGAATACATTTACTTCAAAATCTCATTTATCCCTGACCATATCTTTGTTCATGAGAAACGATAACATGGTAAAAAAAAATGTAGGCTTTAATTATAATGGGTAGGACTTTAAATTCTTATTCTTCTTATCTGATGAATGATCTGGACAAATTACTTAATTTATAGACACTCATTTAACAGTGGAGTTCTGTATGGGGCACTGTGTATAGTATGTACATTAAAATACTATATTCTGAATAAGGAAATGGTAAAGGGAAATTCCAACTTGATGACTTTGCTTTTATTTACATTACTTTAACTTTGATATTATTTGCAGCATTCATATGTGCAGCACTGTGATGTATAACAGAAAAAAAAACTACACTATTGTACTATATAACACACCTAGCAAAACTTATAGTACTTTTTTTTTGCTTTTCTTTCATAAATTTTTTTTTCTTTTCAAAGTTTTATTGATAAACATATAGCATTGAGACAGTTTCAAATCAAATCGAAAGTACAGTTTCAACAAATAATACACTGCATATATTCTTTTTAGTGGTTAATTGCTGTACAAGATGCAGACTTGTGATCCTACTTACAAACACCATTAGAAAAAATCATTCTAATCATTAAGAGAAAACTTATAGTACTTCAAAGCAAAATATACTGTACAAAAAATATACAGGCTATATAAAGAAAATGTAGAGAACTGTAGCAAAAATATGTATCATCAGACTAAAAGTCACTAAACACTTGGTTATAAGTTGAGTAATATTTATGGTTAAACCTTAGTGTCATGACATGTGAAATGTGTATAGTAATTGTTAAACAAAGTTATTAAAAGTTTAAACAAAGCTTACAGTAGTTAAAACATATGATCTTTTCATGCCCAGGAATCACAAATACTTTGAAGTTGTTTTAGGCCAAGGAGCTCAGTAGATATATTGGGAAGATATATTAAGACTATATAACCAAAACATCTAACTATATAATAACCCAGCAGATATTTGAAGTTATTCAATAGGTAATTTAGAAAGACCAGAATTAATTTTATGACATGGAAAGTATTTTCTGAAAAAATGTATGAAAAACGTCTACCAAATAATATTTAATGATACTATAAATCATATATGAAACATTGTTCCTGACAATTTTAATTCTGTAAGATAATAATGTCCATATATAGGGTGAGTATCTCACTTTCTCCTAAACCAGACCAACAATAAACACACTCCAAGAAAAGGAGTTAGATATACCATGCTAGCCAAGAACCAGTAGGTCCCAACATGTTAAAAACTCAGAAGGGTCAGATTATTTGACATTAGATGTTTCATGATGGCTTATCTTTGGAGAGTATTGTATGGTTCTTTAATTGTATTGTTCTTCAATATTTAAATGAAATCTGTTTTATGCAGACAAACATTAAAAATTCTATTTATGCTTTTCCTAAAATAACTTTAAAAAAATGAATTGTACTAAAGATAATTACACCTTAGGGAAGTTTCTATAAGTAATGTAGTAGGAAATATATACTAAATCTTCTAATTATAATTTAAAATTAAAATAATTATTTTCATGTTTGTAGTATATTCTCTAACATAATAATACACGCCTTTATGATTTTTTTATTCTTTATTTATTTATTTATTTTATAGGTACAAACATCTTTTTTTAAGTCAACAGAAAATGGAAATATACTTTTTAAGGTTTCTAATACTAGAAGATATCATACAATGTCTTTTTAAATAAATTGTAAGTCAAAGATATAGTATAAATCTTAGAAAAAAAGTTAAGATTAAGTAATATTCAGAAATTTAAATGTTTCAAAACAATTGAACTAAGAAAAAGTTTTCATGACAGCAAAGAAGTACTAAGAGTAAAACATAAGATAAATACTGGAATGGCAAATAAATGACCAGCACTTCTAACAGTTTGAGGATAGGATATCGCACAAAGTGCTAGTGTGTTGTGGACATGCATAATGACCATAACAGTTACTGGTGGCTAGACGTCACTTGTGGTACTGAGCTACAGCTATTTCTTTGAAGTCCTCCCTGTAGACTCAAGTGGAATCATGACTCATAGGGTGGAAAAGAAGTCCATTTGTAGAGTGTGCTGATGGAAATATTCTGCTGCTGAACACAAAAGAATAACTGAAAGACTACTACTGTATACCTCTTATTCTCCTCTGTTTGTTTGCCCTATTTGGCGGGTTCTTTCCATTCTCATTCATGGGGCTGTGATCAATTTGCCCCCTCTCTAGAACATTATTTAGTAGTCTGTGTAGGCTTGGCTTTGTCATCATGAAATTCTTTAGTTGTTCTTTGTCATGGAAATATTTCACTTCTCCATTATATTTGAAAGAGAGTTCTGCAGGATAGATCGGTCTGGGTTGGGATTTGTTTTCTTGCAAGACTTGAAGTACTTTGCTCCATGCTCTTCTTGACTTGATGGTTTGTGAAGAGAAATCTGCCATTATTCTGATGGGTTTTCCATTAAATGTGATCTATTTCTTTTCTTTAGCAGGTTTTAGTATACTGCTCCTATGCTGAATTTCTGGAATCTTTATTATTATATGTCTGGGTGTGATTTTTATTGGATTGATATTATTTGGAGTTCTATATGCTTCGGTTACAGGAATGTCAGATTGTTGCCTCATATTTGGGAAGTTTTCTGTTATTACTTCTGCCCATATTCTTTTTATATCATTTGTATTGACTCCTTCCTTCTCATTGATGCCTATTAGTCTCACATTGTTCATCTTTGCATCGTCTTGCAAGTATTGAATTATTTTTTTCCTGCATCTTAGTTGTTTTAAAGAGATCTTTTCTTACTTTTTCACTAGCTGCAATGGTGTCTTTCAGATCAGAAAGTCTGTTTTTACTTTCCCTCCAATGGTTTTGCCAGCTTGTAATTGAGGTTTTAATTTCCTGTATATCACTTTGAACCTGTTTCATAGATTCTATTTCTTTCCTAAATTGTTTATTCATGGGTTCCATCATTTTTATATTCTCTATTTTTTTTATCAGTGTATTTTTTAGAAGCACTTAGTACTTCTTTGATTATAGTTACCACTACATTTTTTAGTTCCGAAATTATTTCTTCTATACCTTTCTGCAGTTGATTCTTTACTGTCAACACTATTATTTCAGAGATATCTAGCATGTGATTTCCAGCTTCCTCAGTGCTAGTGTCTTCTGCATTTGTACTGGGTGGACTCAGGGCCTGAGACTGCATTTTGTTCCTTCTCTTTGTCATTTTGTATACCACTGTCTTCTGACCTTTGGTGTAGTGCTTAGATAGAGTTATTACCTTAGCACCAGGTCCGGATCTATGAAGTTCGGATTCCTCCAGGTGGGTGTTGTTTGGATCTGGCTACTGTGGTCCACTTTTTTCTGCTGCAGGAGTTAGAGTTGAACCCTTTGTGTCTCTCTGGGAAGATGTTCTGCTCCTGAATCAGCTGGGTGAGTCTTGCCTCTAGGCTCTTTGCAGGGAGTTCTGCTGAAGGGTTCCGTGCTGGGCCTGCAGCCTGGATCAAATGAGGATCCGTGGGCCCTGGGTCGTCTCAGTCACTTGCTGGGCCCAGCACTCTGGGTCTGTTCAGGATACCGCGGCCCTGGTCGTCTCACTCACTCACCGGGCCTGCACTCTGAGTCTATTCAGGATCCCGCAGGCCCTTGGTCGTCTCACTCACTCGCTAGCCTGCGCTCTGGGTCTCCTTTATGATATTTTAATAAAAAATATTTATTATAATTTTATTAAATCCTTAAAGGACTCTAGTAGTTCAGATTTTATAAATATTGAATATATTTATATGAATGTGATTGCCTTTCTATGAAAGGTTTTGATATCCTCAATAAGTATTAGATATTCATTTGTTTTTCCAGTGGAAAATTTTTAAATCAATGGTTTTATTATATGTTATATTTATAATCTTTGATATTACACTATACATCAGCAAGCATATAATTTCTCTTTGTATTTTTTATTAGTACATATTTGTGGTGTACTCATACAATTGTATGCTCAGGAATTGTCAGATTTTTATGGTAGCTTAATAAAAATTGGTTCTTTATTTTTTTGTTATGGCCTCTCCTGATCATTAAAATTCCTGTATCACAAATCATTTTTAAAATTATTTATTTGAAATAATAGCTTTAAGGGCCAGGGAGACAGTTCAGTAGAATAAGTGCTTTCCTGGCAAGCACAGGGTCCTGAGTTCAGTTGCAAGTAACACAAAAAAATAAATAAATAAATTAATAAATTAATTAAATAAAATAAAATAATAGCTGTATATATCGGTTCAAGTTTAGGCTCATTTAAATATGTAGTGGAGGTACCAAGAGTCCCTGTATTTTTTTGCCCACTAATCTGCAACACACTTCAGACCTGTGAATTTGTTAGTAGCAGATGAGTTTACACTGATAAATCACTACAACCTGAAGTTGATAAGCTGCATTAGAGCAAGCTGGAAAATCTCAGATGTGGTGATTAATCAATACACTTCTAAAGAACAGTTTTCAAAAAAAGTTTAAAATACATTAAACTAAATGGACATGAAAAGTTATCTTCTGAATCTGAGGAATTCTACATACATGATGCTTGGAGGGAAATGTTTAGCTCTGAATAGCTATAATTGTGTTTATTATGGAGTTAATAATTTTAAAGTTAGGATGACTGTACTGGATCCTTCAGAAATTGAAATTCCTTTGATTTTTTTTTAGATGTGTTTGGGTTATAGTTGTGTTGAAAAAGGAAATATGTCAACTGTTGCAGAGAGTTGTACAAGAAGGTGTTCAGGACGTGGAGTAAGTAAGCACATATTTCCTTCAATGACATCTCTCTTGGATATTTTTTTAACATCATTCATTAAATTAGCAGTATTCTTGTGGTTCCTACTATTAAACAACAACTGATGCATCTTCAACTAGGAGATGAATCAAATAATTCACCAGGAAGAATCAGTATTAGAAAACACAGAATTTCATTTGAGTGCTGAAAATACAAAAATTATAACATGGTAATTTTCTGACTATTATACTAAATGCATAAATCTACTCACAAAGGAAGATAGCTTCTATGCCTTTGGCTACCTCAGGTCAAAAAAATTTGAGGTTATTATTTTTTAAAACATTATATGTTATGTTTTAAAGATATAAGTTCACAGCGTAATGAAATGCAACACGCAGATTTTGCATAGATCCCCACCACATTCCATTCAAACACAGTCTCCCCATTTCAACCTATATATCTGTTGTTACATTTGTTAAAACTGAACATTCACATAGACACACAATTATCCCTCAAAGTTCACAGTTTACATTAAAATTCATTCTTTGTATTACATAATCTGTTTCCATAAAAGTATAATTCATGTGCCCACTGTTATACTATTATATTGCACACTTTTACTGCCTTTAAATTCCTCTCCGTGGCCGTGTTTTTGGGACTCCTCCAGACCCACCCAAGTGCAGGCCTGGTGAGTGTGTGGGAGAGCTTCCAAGCTCCCCTGCACCCGCAGGATAACTCTGGACCTAACCCAGGCCCGACATGTAAGTGAGAATTTCCCCTATGCTCTGGAGATCCTGCCCACCTCTGGACCCAGCCCATGCCAAGCATGTGAATGAGAACTTCCGCGACACTCTGGAGACCCCTCCAGACTCAGAAGAAGCCCAGGCCTGAAAGGGTGTGGGAAAGCTTCCGCACTCCCCTGCACCCACTGGACAGCTCAGGCCCCAACCCAAGACCAATTTATGAGTGAGAACTTCCAAGAGGCTCTTTGGACCCTTCCAGACCTGACCCAGGCCTGGCATACAGGCCTAGGGTAAAACTGCAACTGAAGTCACTTCAGAGAGGCTAGGGGACAGAACCACCCAGCTAATCCAGGAGTAGAACATCTTGCCAGAGGGGCACAACAGGTATACTTCCAAGGGCTGCAGCAGGAAGAAACTCAGCACAGTAAGCAGACTCAAGCCAGGCACAACTGAATGAATTCAAACTATGTAGATCTGCATTTGAATTTCAGTACGTGCTAAGGTTATAACTGCACAAAACTCTACACCAAAGGCCAGAACAGTGTTACACAAAGTGACAAAGAGGAGGAGCAAAATGCAATCTCAGAGTCCTAGCCCAGGTCCTGTGAGTGTGTTGGAGAGCTGCCTGCTACCCTGCCCCAGTGGGACCAAATACTGGTCCCAGCCCAGGTGCAGCGTGGGCAAGACCCTCTCTCACCCTCTTGGGATGCCCCCCACGACTCCACAGCACCTCCCCCAACCCGTCCACAGAGTGGGAATTTCTGCCGCGTTCCGGGAACCCCCAGACCCAGTCCTAGTCCAGGTCCGGTGAGTGTGTGGGAGAGCTTCCTGCTACCCTGCACAGCGGGAACAAATACCAGTCCCAGCCCTGGCACAGCATGGGTGAGACTCACTCCCACCCCCTTGGGACGCCCCCCACCACACCACAGCAACTCCCCAACCCGCCCTACGAGTAGTAATTTCTGCCCCGTTCTGGGAACTCCCAGACACAGACCTAGCCTAGGTCCAGTGAATGTGTGGGAGAGCTTCCTGCTACCCCGCACCACCAGGACCAAACACGGGTCCCAGCCCAGGCGCAGCAGGGGCAAGACCCTCTCCCACCCACTTGGAACACACCCACCACTCCGTAGCACCTCCCCCAACTTGCCCGCTGAGTAGGAATTTCTGCTGCGTTCCAGGAACCCCCAGACCCGGTCCTGGCCCAGACCCAGTGAGTGTGTGGGAGAGCTTCCTCTCCCCCCCCCACTCCTCCTTGCCCCCTCCAGGCACAGCTCAGGCCTGGCATACATGCTTAGGGTGTAACCCTGCAGCTGCAATCCCTGCAGAGAGTGTAGAGGATAGAACCACCCAGCTAGTCCAGAAGCAGAACATCTTGCCACAAGGACACAACAGGTTCATCCTCAAGGGCAGCAGCGGGAAGGAGCTGAGCACAGCAGCCAGACCCAAGCCAGGCACAGCTGGATAAATCCAAACTTTATAAAACTGCACCTGAACTTCAGTATGTGCGAAGGTTATAACTACAAAGAAGATCTACAACAAAGGTCAGAGGACAGTGCTACACAAAATGACAAGAAGGAACAAAATGCAACCTCAGAATCCAAGCCCACCCATAACAAGTGCAAAGGATACTAACACAGAACAAATTGGGAATCACACAGCTGAAAGCAATGAATCAACGGCTTCGGAAATAAAGAAACAGCTGCAGAAAGGTATAGAGGACCTCAAATTGGAAATTAAAAAAGAAATCCCTGAATTAATAACATCTGCAGTAAAGAATCAAAAGCAGAAACATATGAAAGAAACGCAATGCCCAACCAGAACAAGTGCGGAGGACACTAGCTCGGCTCAAATGCATGAATTAATAGTGTCGATAGTAAGTAAGCAACAGCAGAAAGATATAGAGGAAATCAGAGCACAATTCTTTTGTGAAATAAAAAAAGAACTCTCAGAACTCATAGCAGATGAAGTAAAGAAGCAACTACAGAAACATAGGCAGGAAACCCAATCTGAAAAAAAACACTGCAGTAAAAGAATTTATAACTGCGTCTAAAGAAGATATTGATAAAAATATAGTGGAGATTAGAAAAATGATGGATTACTTGAATGAGTAATACAGGAAAGAAATAGATCGCAAGAAGCAGAGTCAAAGAGATATAGAGAAAATTAAAATCTCAATCACAAGCTTAAAAAACCATTTAAGTGAATGTGAAGACAGAGTTTCACATCTTGAAGATGCTGGTGCAGCTAGTGAAAAGGTAAGAAAGGATCTCTTAAAAACAACAAGGATGCAGGAAAGGATAATTCATCACCTGCAAGATGATGCAAAGATGAACAATGTGAGACTAACAGGCATCAATGAGAAAGAATGAGTCAATACAAATGACATTAAAAAAATATGGGCAGAAGTAATAGCAGAAAACTTCCCAAATATGAGGAAACAATCTGACACTCAGGTAACTGAAGCACACAGAAGACCAAGTAATCTCAATCCAATGAAAAACACACCCAGACATATAATAGTCAAGATCCCAGATATTTAGCACAAGAATAATCCACTGAAAGCCGCTAGAGAAAAGCAGATCACATACAAAGGAAAATCCATCAGAATTACGGCCAACTTCTCTTCACAAACTTTGAAGGCAAGAAGAGCATGGAGCAGAGTACTTCAAGTCCTCTATGAAAACAAATTCCAACCCAGACTACTATACCTGGCAAAACTCTCTTTCAAGTTTGATGGAAAAGTGAAATACTTTCATCACAAAAAACAGCTAAAGAATTTCGTGATGACAAAGCCAACCCTACACAGGCTACTGAAAGATGTTCTAGAGAGGGACCAAAATGAACAGAACTCCACGAATGAGATCAGAAGCAACCAACTAATTAGGGCAAGCAATTAAACACAGGGGAAAGAGGAGAAAATGACAACAGGTAAATAACATCTCAATTCTAACCATCAATGTAAATGGGCTCAATTCACCAATTAAGAGACATAGTCTGGCACAGTGGATTAGGAAACAAAATCCAACAATATGAACACACTTAACTCATAAAGACATTCATAGGCTGAAAGTTTAAGGAAGGAAAATAATTCTACAGGCCCCAGCACCTCAGAAAAAAGCAGGTGTAGCAGTCTTATTCTAAGAGAGTCTCAACTTCAAACCAACAATGATCAAGCAAAATAAAGAAGGCCACTATATTATACTGGTTAAGGGAAAAGTTCAAGATGAAGAGGTAACACTCATAAATTTCTATGCACCAAACATGGGAGCACCCAACTCTATAAAGCAAATCTTAATGGACATGAAAAATCTAATATCCAATACCACAACTTTAACAGGAGACCTTAATACCGCCTTATCCCAAAACCTAGGTCTACCAAACAAAAATTTAGCAAAGAAATAACAGAATTGAATCAGAGCTTGAAACAAATGGTGGACATATACAGAGTGTTCCATCCAAACACAGCTGAATACACATTTTTCTCAGCTGCACATGGGGCATTTTCTAAAATAGACCACATACTGGTCCATAGGTCAGGCTTAAGTATATGTAAGAAAACAGAAATTATCGATGCACATTGTCTGACCACAGTGCAATGAAACTGGAAATAAATGACAAAAGAAACTGGAAAAAACCACGTAAATACATGGAAATTAATTGACACCCTACTCAGCAACTAATGGGTCACAGATGAAATTAAATAAGAAAATTCAACAATATCTACAATTCAATGAAAATTCAAGCACAACTTATTATAATTTATGGGATA